AATTCTAAAAAAAAGATTATTATCTATTTGGGGGTCAGCAGGTGGTGTGGTACTTAAGGGCACTGGACTCCCACATGGTCGACTGTGTTTCGAGTCCCAGACCTAGTGGCTTGCTTTCTCACTTTCTCTCCCCTTCTGTGGCAATTTTTTTTTAAAAAAAAGTAAATAAAATAATTATTTAAAAAGATTATTATATATTTGTCTATTTTATTTTATAAGTATTTCCCCCATATTAATTTATCTTAAGTTTTTGTTTATTTTTTTTTACCATTCTGAGTCTAATATTATATTCTCTTGCTTTCCTTTGAAATATAGTCTTTCCTCCGTACAATTAAACAATCTTAATTATTCTTGAAGGAGCACAAAAACTCCACCATCTAATGATGGGTCCTTCTAAATTATTTGTTGCCTTCCACTCATATTGTGTATTTTAAAATCTGAAAGACAGAATTTGGATTTTACTTCTTTCTTACTGTTTAACCTGAGTAAAATATCATGGATATCTCTTGGTCTGTTGCTAAGTCCAGAAGAGTTACTTGAATAATAGACAAAAATTGAGGGAAAACCACACTGAGCATTATGTATCATCATCTACATGAAATTTATCAATGATACTTATAAAAATAATTAAAATATTTATGGTAAAGTGTAAAGGGAAAATAGGAGATATGTCAATTGACAAGAAAGAAGCTACATAAAATAATTATGAAAATAGGTGAAGTGTTAAGATGCATCAGGATATTAGGGAATACAAAGTTAAAAAAAGTAAGAGTGACTGGGCGAACAGGTGGTTGCTGGATGCCCACCTGGCTGACCACAGTTCAAGTCTCGGTCATGATGGCTTGCTTTCTCACTTTCCCTGTCTCTCTCTCTCTAGTGAGTACACACGCTCTATAGCAAATTTAAAAATAATAATAATAAATAAAATTAAATAAGTCTAAAAAAAGAGTGATTAATAATTTCATAGTTACTCATTACAGAGAGCAGAATGAATTCCTAAGAGATCAAATAATTGTGATTCTAATGTTTGATGACAATTTGTATTTCTAATATTGTAAATAGAGAATTTACAAACCAGCCTGAGGTTTCTTATAGGGCAGAAAATGGGGCAAGAGGAAATAAAATGTAAAGCCAGTTGCTTTCAGATGTTAGTTGGCTGGGAACCAGCAGTTAGCGTAATGGCTATGTCGCTGGACTCCCACGTAGTCGACCGCGGTTTGCGTCCAGGACCCGGTGGCTTAAAACTCACGCCGGGCGCGTGTGCGTGTGTGCCCAGGATCCCGAGAGGAGAATGGAAGAGAAGGCATTGCGGTGTGACCATCCCCCCAGGGGGGGGTGATTTCTCGCCTTCGGTCTCTATGTCTCTCTCTGTCTGGCGAGTGCACACGCCCTATAGCGAAGACCTCTCCAAAAAAAAAAGAAAAGAAAAGAAGTTAATTGGTTGAATGAAATGAGAACAACCGGTGCCATGTGACTTTTCTGATCTTTTTGGGATGATTTTGATAAATATATGTGACTTCCTTTAGCCTCATCGGGTATCAGGTATCGACAACAGGAAGATAACTGGTAACACTAGGCAGATAGCGTTTTTGCATGTAAATGCTCTCATACTCACAGAAGCATGTTTCTGCATACGCCTAACAGTCATATGTTTTCTTAGTTGAATGCTCTCCACACATTCCCCCCTTTTTCTTTTTTTATTTGAGTTTGTGGAGCTGGATGGCTATTGTATGGAATTTTCGCCAAGTGATTCTGTAGATTAGTAGAAAAATAAACATAAACAAGATTATTGGCACAGTTATTTTTAAGAAATACTATAAAGAGTGGTGAAGCACATTAAAAGAATTAAGAGTCTTTAAGTTGATTTAAAATGTTAGAGGCTAAATTAGAAGGATTAAACAAAGATAGAAAACTACTTTGTAAACTTATGATTTATGAAGATCTTTTACATTTACAGAAATATTGTTAGAAGACCATACTCCATGGAGATTGTTTTGTATAGAAATGTAGATTTAATGTGTGTCATTATAAGGTAAAGGAGTTATACAGATGAGATGAAATAATGTGACATTTTAAATTACTTTATAGCTGTATTTTAAACGCTTATTCTCCTACACTGTCTACAGTAGTTTTAAACTCTAACAAATGGAAAGCAATTTATTTGTCAATATTTAATTGGGTGTCCAATGTTTGATTAATAGTGAATATTACTAGAGCACATGGAATGGGCTTTGGGGGAAACTACTTTGGGATAAACAAATGTAGTAGTAGGGGCAAACTGTATAACTGTATATATCAGAAGGGTAGTGACAACCAATTTGGGGGGAAATAAGAAGATAGCGACAATTGTACCGTCCTTGGTTGTTTGTGAGTCTCAGGCAAGAGATTACATTTACTTTAAGAGGCCTTCTGTTGTTTGTAAGCAGTAAGAAAAAGTAACATTTGTCTATTAGCGTTTATGTCTGATTTTTAAAGAATACTGATATGGGACATTTTCTTTTCATTAAACTGGAGTTTTAAAAGCGATGTAGGGACCAGCAGTTGGTGTAATGGCTGTCACTAGACAGATCCGAGGGCTCTTTCACTCCTAAATGAGCTGATTTATAGATAACTCACAACTTCTTAGGCTGATGGCATTTTTTTCTTCAACTCTTCCAATAAATGCAGTTGCTAAGATAAAAAAAGACCACTATTTGCTCATGATATGTTAAAACAGTCTAGGGTCTGGGCCAATCAAGGTGCTGGAGTCTATGTGACTGATGCTGAGGTTCCAGACAGGACCTGGTTATTTGAAAGACACACCAGGTGCATATGCATGTGTGCATATGTGTGTAGAAGGGATTATGACATGGCCATCTCTCCTGGAGGGAATTTCTCACTTTCCCTCTCTCTAGGGAATGCACATGACCTATGGCAAAAATCGAAAAAAAAAAAAAAAGTCTACCAATTTTTGTACTATGTTTATTTTCATTTTATTAATTGACTACCATTCATATTTAGATGTTTACACATAATTATTAAGTCAAATCTCAGCATTTGTTTAACATTACTCTTTGGTTTTCTTTAGAAAAATCCACCGCTGGGTCAGCAGATGGTATAAAGTTACATCGCTGGACATAGTCAACTGCCACTCAAGTCCTGGACCCAGAAGCTTAAAACTCACACTGGGTACGTGTGCATGCATGCTCAATATCCCAAGAGGAGACTGGAGGAGAAGGGATTGCCACAGGGTCACCACCCCTGGGGAGTGATTTCTCGCTTTCTATCTGTCTCTCTGGTGAGTGCACACGTTCTATAGCAAAAATCTCACTTACAAAAAACACACACACACACACACAAATATATATATACACACACACACAATTTCCCCAGATCATTTTTATATTCAATTATTCAGGCTGTTTTAACTATACTTTAATGTAAAGAAATAAATATAAGTTCACTTCCACACACTATTAGTCAATATATATGACATGACTTATTAAATATGTATTTCCATCCCTGGCAGTATCAAAAGATACTTTTACCAATGTTAATAGAACCATTATGGAAACAGCATGGAGGTTCATCAGGAAACTAAAAAATAGAATTATTCCCGTGATCCAGCAATCCCACTTCTGGGTGTATTTCTAAAGGAACTAAAAGCAATATTCCAAAGTGATATCTGCACTCCCTTCTTTAGTGGAACATTATACACAATAGCTAGCATATGGAAGCACCTTAGGTATCGATCATTTGAATAATAATGAAAATGTAGTTTATATAAAGAATGGAATACTATTCAGGCCTTAAAAAAAGAGGGAAATTCTGTCATTTGTGACAACATGGATATTATGGTAAGGCACAAAAGACAAATACCACACGATCTCACAGATGTGGAATGTAAAAAACGTTGAACTCACAGAAACAATATAATGGTGGTTACCAGAAGTTGGAGGAGGGAACACGTGGAAAAGAGGGGATGTTGTTCAGTTAAATGAGAGGAATAAGTTTTAGTAATACACTGCACAGAATGATGACAACAAACAGTGATGCACTGTACATTTCAAAATTGTTCAACAAGTAGATGTTTAGATGTGAAGTGTTTTCATCTGAAAAAAATATGTGGAGGTGATGGAATTGTTAATTAACTTGATTTGAACATTCCTCCATGTAAACATATATCAAAACATCATACTGTACCCCCTAACTGTATAATATATACTATGATTTGTTCATTACTTTTTTTAATGTATTCATTTTCTACATTAATTCACTATACACCATCACAACACACAAATGAATTTTCCATCCAAAATACACTGTGCATTGGCTCAATCAAGCACATCAACATACATGTTCTCAGCAAATAACTTTCCAATTCTTATGTCTGCATACCTTGCCTTTTGTTTTGCCATCCTTGATTCCCCATCCCCCACCCTCTGCCACGTCCCATCCTCCTCCCACATTGTCCCTGGCATGGTTGCCCTCCATGCTCACCAACCCCCCCCCCATTCAATTGATCTGCCAATGAACTTAATTAGTCTAAATATATCCAATAGCTAGCACAGCTGACACATACCTATACATGAACCCAAGTCTGACTTTAGGCATAAACCCCAGTGAGTAGAATGAACTATTCATTACTTTTTAAAGTGTTGATTTCCCCACAGCTTCTGAGGCTGGAGCTGCTGCCTTAGGCGACACAAGCGCGGACCCCCGGCCCTCGGGTGCTCACAGCAGTCCCAAGTCTCGCTGGTCCTGAGCTTTCCGCACAGCAGACGGTCTGGATTCCCCTTCTCAAGCATTTCCGGCCCCAGAGGAAGAACCGCACAAGCCCTCGTCTTAGACATCGCTGCCCGAGCCGCACTTCCCTGCGTCTACACCTTCCTAGTATAGTGAGAAAAATCTTCAGCAGCCGACCTCAGGCGGTTCTTGGGCGCCCTTGCGTCCCAGACGAGATTCGATGGGCCGCCTACTTTTCCCACAAGCCACCGCGGCCTCAAGTAGTCCCTCACGAACTACATTTCCCAGAGGGCAACGGGCACACGCATCTATGGCGTCCCTTCTGTTTTGCGAAAGCTAGTGCCTTAACCAGGTGAGTCAAATTCATCCCAGGATATGATAGGCACAGGGTGATCGCAGGCAGGGCCCTGGGCAACCGGGGTGGATTGGAACCTGACCTGGACCAGCCAGGGTGGTGGAAGAAGCCCTCTGAATGGAGAATTCCGCAGCGTGGTCCCGCTGTCACCGGAGCCTCAGGCCTGCGGGTTCATGAACCGCAGAGGAGGGGCTGTACGTTCTGTTTGTCCGATGGGGAATGCGTGGGAGTGTGCGTGTGTATATGTGTGAGTGTGTGTGAGTGAGAGAAGTTCGGTGTGAGAGGGTGGGTGTGTCTGGCGGCGGGTTGGTAGCTCCTGAGGCAGCGCTCTGTGTTGGGAATTTGAGGTGCATGGCCTTTGCACGTGCGTTGATCGCTTGGCTTCGTGATGTCATCGTGACCAGTGGCAGTCGATTCCCCGCTGCCATTTCCGCCCTATCTCCTCACAGCTATTTGGCGGCTCACACAAAGAAGTGTTCCCAAGAGGAAAGTCGGATGTTGAGCCCTAAATCAAATTTTCTAGCAAGAAGTAACTGACTTGTTAGGTTTAGAACACCCAGAAGCTTTTCTTCGGAGGCTCTAGGGGTCAGCTATGTGGCTCAAAACCTCAGCTTTCCCAGAGCTCTGATCCCAAGAACCTGCTATGAACTCATACAGATTCTATTCTCCTTATTACCTCCAACCCTTTACGTGTGTCAGCAAGGCAGGTGTGAACCTCAAGGGTACTGTGTAACCAAGACGTTCTATGTTCCAAGAAAAGCCTGATGTCTCATAACTCCTCCCTGGTCCTACCTACTCCAAAAGAAGAATTGCTTCACATCTTTAGATGTTTTTAAACATTGGTTTTTAAGCCAATGATTATGCTAGTTTTTTTTTTTTCTTTTCCTGTCATAAACTTGTTGGATTTAGAGCATGCTTTCCTTCATCCAAAATGTCCTAACCCTGAGCTCTTTCCAGTGACTGTTGGATGATATTAAGATGAACCTCGTTAACATTCATTTTCATGAAGTATTATATCATTTTACTCTTGCCACGTGTTCTCTTTTTGTAAACCGAACCTGAAAAAAGTTAGACTCCTTGGTCTAGAATCAAAAACAGCAATTTTGCTACTTATGATTATTTGCAAAGCTAGTATTCAGAATTACGGAAATGATTAAGTAAATGATTAACCCATATGGTTGAATATTATACAACTAATAAAATTGTGTTTATACAGAGAGAGACAGAAGGCAAATGTACAGTATGTACTGTTTAGCAATATTCATATTTTAAAAGTAATGGTCAAGAAAAATCAAATTATGGATCAATCTCAAATGAGATTGTGAGATATTTTGCAATGGTTGCATACAAAATCATACTTGAATTATTTATTGAAGCAGGGGAGTGATGTGGTTAGATATAGTGCACATCTATTTTATACAACTTCTCTACTTTTTTTTTTTTTTTTGGAGGGATTTTTTCTATAGGG